GGTGATCATCCTCTGTGACGTACAAGCAATGCTCTTTGCAAGAAAGAAGTCGTGTCAAGATGTACCAAGCAATGCAACCAATGTCGCACCAACCAGTCGGGGAAAGAAGACTGACAAACTTTTCATCACATGCTGTCAGCCCTGTTAAGCTTGATATTATAAGCTTGATATTCGGGTGATCATCCTCTGTGACGTACGCACAACGCTCTTTGCAAGAACGTTCCCGGAATTACCACCATGCCCTATAGCATTGCAGGGAGGGGACTATGGTTCTCAGCCTCCGTTAGGTGCCGAGGACTGCGACAACATCATCCTTCAAAGCTCTGCATAGAGGACTCGATCGCAATCCGACCTTTTCGCGAAGCCGCCCCCCAAACGCTGATCCAAAATGCAAATAAACCGGAAAGCCACGGCCTACACCTCCACCTCAAAGATTGGACCTTGAACCCACTCTGCCTGCGCCTTCAGCACTGGCGGCAAGCTCCGATTTCGGAGCCAGTTCTGCAGTGTAGGCTGGATGTTAGGGCAATCTTAAGATTTAGGGTTCTGGCGAGTTAGCTGGATTGCAGGCTTTCTGAAGAAGGCGGATAGGATTTGGGGTATCACTCGCTGCCTGCGCAAACAGAACTGTGGAGTCAGTTGTTCCTCCATTTTATTGGCTGTATGTTTGGCGCAGCCAGTATGGATTTGTTTTGAAATTTTGCCCAAGCTAAGGGAACTCCGCTTGCAGGTAAATTCAACATGGCTCCGGAACCTGCAGTGTAATGCAACCCCTGTGTGGCTGTTTCCTGCCTTGATTTCGGACATTCGCTTCTTGTGCTCCAGCTCCCGCGGATGCGTGAACTCCATCACGGCGGTGATGCAGGAAAGCAAGAAACCTCGACAATAAGCAACCAGAAATGCTGGTCTGTCGCGGGGAGCAGGGGCCATGTGCTGTCAGCTTTGAGATTCTTGAGTCGTAGGATCAAGTCCAACTACTACTGCCGTGCAGACAAGCGTTGCTCCAGGATAGACCCCAAACCAACAGCTATCGAACTGAGGCTATAACTAGGTAAGCCCTATCATACTCCCGTCATGGCGCCCAGAACAACCCCCACAACTCTTGTTAGCAACCGCTCGCAGGGTGTAAGATGCTGGGCCCACCGCCGAAGAGCACTGCACCGGTGATCTGGGAAATGATGCACCTTCAAAGCCAAGCTTGGGAAAACGGAACCCCTTCAGAGGTTGCTGTTAATCTGTTGAATCCTGTTGACCCACGGTTTGGGCTCAAGGGCTCGGCAGCGCCGACAAGATTCCTTCCCTGAAGGCGCCAAAATCAAAACCATCCATTCCGGGGGTTACCACTTCGAGTACAGGACTCAAAGGTGGCAGCTGAAACACCTATGTCTTCAAGCATGATCCATGATCCAACAAGCTTTGATCAGGAGTGCGTGAGAAACAGATAGAGACAGAGAAAGACAGAGAGAGAGAGAGGGGGGGCAAAGGGCGAGAGGGAGGAAAGAAATTAACCTAGTAACATTATATTCCTTATGTAAAATACTATAACCCAAAAGGAATGGAGAATCTTACTCTATAATGGGTACCATAGTATCCCCAAATAAGAGGGAGGAAGGCAGGGACCTAAACTGGGAATTCGAGCCAATGCAGCTACGGATGCAGTCAACCGTTGGAAGAACTTCTGAGAGCATCCCCGAATGATCAGCACAGAAAACTAGTGTGGACTGGATCCCCATTACCTAAGGTTAGGAGTATGGGTATGGGCCCCTAATTATTGGCCCTTAGGCCTTTTACTGGGATTCTAGGGACCCTTAAAGGTACATATAGGGTATTTAGTAAGTACAGAAAGATCCCAAGGTTAAGGGCCCATACTAGGGGCCCATGGTTTCAATCTTATACACTAGGACCCCCACACCATCTTAAGCCCACTGGTCCAATGCAACCAAAGCACACGATCCGCTCAAACGAGTTGGCCGGAAAGATGTCGCCGTAGCCCACAGCCTCAAACATGCTGAGCTGCCGGCGGGCAGGAGTTTTGGCTTTCAGGCAAGACATGGCGCCTGCTGCTCCAAGGAGATCTGACATATGATATCAAATCATCACATAGCTACTCACTCAATTCCGGCAGATGTTTTTCGCTAAAAAGTCTGAGCACAGGCTATGGTGTTGCCCTTGTGAAGCCACCGGAACCCTGCAAGAACCGCCCAAGATAAATCCTCGATGCCCTGAGCTCCACGCCATGAGAGTGGCTGTGATGAAGTGGAAAGTGCTCAAGTACCGGCCCCTGGGAAAACCAAGGGTTCAAAACAACAATACGCCCGGACATGCTATGAAAGCATGAAGAACTCAACGCATATGCATGCATAGATGAGGCGCAAAAACGGTCGGGCGCCCTGCATAGCCCAAACAACTTATGATTTCCTAGAAAGGGATCCTCAGGCATGTTTAAACACATGTTAAGCAGAATCAGAAACGCTTCTTTTGCTCGGGTGCGAGCTGTGCGAGCCGTGTGGTGACCCTGACTCCCACACTCAATTGACCGTGAAAGCCAGAATGTGGGACTCTCGATCCTGCAATTGCTAGTCGTTTTCCTTGTTCAGGCAGTCGCAAACAGAGCCCTCAATTCTGGCAGAAACCCAAGTCAACCGAAAATCGTGTCTTTGCAGCAGGGCTCGATCCCTGCGGATACACACCCCTCAAAACTATCTAAGCCAGCACTTTGCTGGATTCATGCCCAGGCCTGGCAAGGCTCAGGCTTTGGGGCCGCCTTTGGCGGTGCCTGCTTCCTACAAAGCCGGCGCCTTTGGCCGGAGTGGTGGAGCAGGTCCAAAGCAAATTCCAGGCGCTCCTTCAGCGCCTCTTTCTCCTCTGTGCCGTCTGGCAGGTCTGCACACTGGATCACACGATAGATGTGCCAGTCCATATGGTTCAGACGCGCACCAGCGGCGCAAAGCAATTTCAGCCACTCTGCCAGGGTCTCTGTACTTACCACAAGCAAAGCGAGGAACACAGGTGACATCTCGCCCCAGTTCGTGTTCGGGGTGTGTGAGCGCAGGAACACAGTGTCGCCATTGCAGCGAGTCTCCAGGGCCGCGCGGAGCAGCATCTTCGCCAAGGCCATGTCTTGCGCGAGAATGGCAACATGGAGAGGCCGAGGGCAAAAGACTCCGCCAGGTGGCGAGTAGACATGGTTGGGGAAGACCAGCGCAGAAACCTCAGGGAAGGACAGCAACACATTGCGGCATAGTGCAGAACTATGAATGCGAGGCCTTCGGAAATTGGCGACAGCATCGCTGCAGTGCAAGGTAATGTGCCGGATCATCACCCAGATGGACGAAGGTGTTTTCGAAGAACCAATTCCTGGTCACTGGGAGGTTTGATGCTGGGCATTGTTTCTGTCCCCACTGAATCTGCAGGCTTATCAAAGCCTGCTGACTTTTGGATGTTGAGACAAAAGCTGGGCTGGGACCCTGCCACCAGGCATCAGCCGAAGGCGGTGTTCGCTTTCACTCTCATACCCCTTCCTGCGCATGGACAGAAATGCATCGTCCACGGCATACACCTGCACAGGCAAAAGCTCAAGATGCCGCGGACATGGCTAAACAAGTACAACTCTGGCCACTGGGCCTCCACTTTGGAGAAAGTCGCATCCGCGAAGTCCATAGCATGCGCAAAGTCCTGAATGCTAGAAAGGGTCAATCCTCACACCTCAAAAGAAAACCAGCCAAAAGAAACCGGCCCAAACTCGGCCATTTGCCTCCACTAGCATGGCGTCCTTATGCTGAGGTCCCTATCATAGTAAGCATCCCCACATTAGGTTAACTATTTTTCTGGCTAATTCCCAAGAGACTCCTACCCTTACCCTCCAAGGCTGAACCCTAAGCCAAGCCGCATCTTCATCGTCGAGGTCGGGGCGCTCGAGATCTTCTGTGTAGCCTTGACGCGCATCTTCCTCCCAGCGAAACCTGGAAGCCACTTGTCCCGACTACTGAGAGCAGATTTTGTGGGGGCATACACATTGGGGGCTAGCGTTGATGATTCTCCTTTGAGAATATCTCTAACGTAGATGAAGTTCGAAAGCCCACCGTTTTGAGCTCCTTTTAAGTTTAAGGACGCACTGTAGTTACCAGCCGCCCACCATTGTGAAGAGACACTTGCCTGGGCTTAAGCGAAGTTTGAAAAAGGAATGTCTGTGCAGCCACTGGAAGCGTAACGAGCAGTTGGTAAAAGAATCCATGCTGAAGGTTCTCTGACAAAATCTTTGGGATGCTTCCATGCGGGGAAAGATAAAGATTATGTCAGACTGAGCAGCTGCTGCACCGCAGCATGTGAGCGGGGGACGAAGTGATGAATTGCAAAGGCCTCAGGGAAGGCACTCAGCGAGGCACCTTTTCACGTCCCTGTCAAATGCCAGGCCCGGCCCTGCCAGGCTTCCCTTCCCATCCTGTGCATGGGCACGGCTGCTACGGCGAAGTGGCGTCAGCGCAACGGCGCCAATGAAGGCTGCCACGGCCGGTAGAGTCAAGGTGGGAAGCCTCGTTGGTTCACAGGGACAGCCATTGCTCTCAAGATTTACGTGCGAGACGTTCTGCCCAGCCGCCGCGAGAAGAAGGCATCTTTGCGTTGCAGCTGCTCTAACTCGGCAGCATCGAGGCTCACGCACTGCTCGGCAGGTGATGGGCCACGGTACTCAACCTCAGCTCCGGCCCTCAGCCCTGTGCTAAAATAACTTACACACAAGGCGCCATGTGCATCCAACTGACTGGAGGCAGCGTGGCTATTTGCGCCAGGCGGGCCTCAATGAGTGCCTTCTGCTCCCAGAATTCCGAAGCGATGGCCGCCTGGTGCTTGCATGGAATCTGAGTGGCAGCGGCACTCGTGTCTGCAAGATGCAGGGTCCCTGTCTCCATGAACGCAATCTGCAAAACCGCTCTCGCACCTGCTCCTCCGTGGCAGTCCCAGCACGGCTGGCCGCAAGCGCTGAGAGAAGGAAGGGGGAAGGCGGAGGCATGGCTGGAAGCTCGGACCCTAAAAAGTTCTGCTGGGTGTACTTTTTCATGATGGAATGCTCTGCGGGCAGTATCTTAGTAGCTGGCCTCCCCTTTTGTGAGAGGCATGACATAGAAGCTGCTCTGCATTGCGTTGTCAAATCTTGGCTGGCCAGACTAGACACCTGCACTGAGGAGAGCAGCTGCGCAGTGCCATGGCAATGACTACTTCTTCTGAAGCGCACGATGCCTTTTACTAAGAAGTGTCAACCAGTGCTGGGGGTTCTTCCTGTCCATTGGCTTCATAACCCGCGATCTTGTCAGTGGATTGATTACGGCTTGGCCAGTCATAGACCTCATCTAGTACTCTAATGGGGAAAACACGGCGAACATTCCTTGGGGGTAGGCGACGGCTGGGAAGTTCCGTGGCCCCAGCGCGAGATCAAACTTGTCCGCCTGGAACATCCGCACCCAGTTCGACCAAAACCTGCAGGGTGGGGGGTTGCTGCTTGGAATGAAGCTGTCCACATATGAAGATTAAACAACATAAGCTATGACGTGGTTTTTAGGTTCCACAGGCTCGTCCGCCTCGCTCCGTCGTCGGGGTCCTTGGGCGGTGGGCAGGGCACGGGCGAGCCGTCCTCGCAGACTGGTGAGGCCACCAGATACCTTGAAAAGAAGAAGGGCTGGCTATGAACATAACTCACGTCGTGCGCTGAGATGTGCTGAGCTATGATTCTGAGATTCCCAAGGGCAAGGCGTCAGGCATGCTAGCCAGTGGACTATGAAAAGGACCTGCAAGCAGCTCAGACTTCTCGGACTGCTCTGAGCAGGTCCTTCAGCAGCCGTGCCTTCACCAGCATCTTCAACATGTCCATCCTTGGCTTCCATACACAAACAACTGCTGCTTTGGCTTTGATCCATGGTCTGTGTGTGCTCGTACAAAACCACTCTGCCAGACTCCCCAAGTGCCAGGCCGAGCTGAAGTCGTCTCGAGTATACTATATGTCTAATATAATATGCTATAGTATACTATATTACGCTAAAATTTTCTAAAGTTTGATTCCTGGGACCTTGTGGGCCAGTAGGGCCCAGGCATTTGCAAACTGAAGTTCAACTTCTCCTCGACCAGGAGAACCCTTGGACCAGGACGGGTTTCAAGAGCCAACATGCACGTTCAGGTCCAACACGCATGGATAAGATTGTGGGTTTGGTCATAGATCTTCTGCTCTGCCATTTTGGTGGAGCTATGTAGCTTCCACCGGCTGCACATAATAAAGCGGAGATCTGCAACCTGCTCACAAAACCCCAGCATTGCTTGAACTGAAGGGAGACTGACCCGAGCCACGAGGCCACGGCAGGCGCTTCAGCTTGAACAGCCTCCCCAGCTTCATCAGCCTCACAAGCCTGGTGCCCAAGAAGTCGGCAAATTTGCTAAATGGCGGCGGAACCGTTGCTGTTGGTTGGCAATACATTGCCGTCTTTACCAGAAGAAGTATGATGAGTTTTAGACACTGACGGTGCTGAACGTCATCAATCCCTCGCACTGAGTAACTCATGTTTGCTGTCAGGACATTGGTCGGTATATCTGGGGACCTTAGGTTTGGCTCAATTCATGGTGGGATTTGGGCATGAAGACCATAGATGTCAAAATACCCAAGATTCATAGGCACGCACCCCAAGTCTAGTTTACACTTCCCAAAGGTAGCAATGGCCATGATAATGCTGAGAATACACCTGTAAGAAGATGACTCACCAAGATGTTTGTTGGAAACGCTCCACCAAGAATCGAGGATTAACTCCCGGAACCATAAACCCTAACTGAAATTCCGACACAGCCCCTAAGAGATCCCAAAACTGCGACGAAGGTAAACGCAAAACCCTCGTTTTCGTGACATAGGACCTGAGATCAGGGGCCTTCAAAGCCGACCTTTAAATCCCAAGCACTGTGAGAAGTCCTTGCGCAAACATGCAAACATGGCTATCCTTGCGGGAGGCTTAGATCACGTTTGTCCAATTCTACAACCATAGCTGGGTCCCGCTGCGGGGCCACAGCACAACCAGCACCCATGCCGTTTGAGGGGTGATCACCGTAGCTGAACAAGAAAAAGTGGAAACGGAAGCTACCAGCATTGAAACATGCGGAGGTTCCATCGACATCTCAAAATGGATCGACAACTCGGCTGGCATGGAGATCTCCAACGTAGTGGCGACTCCATGATGCAATGCACGGAACGATGAGCCCAGCACACTGCGGATGCTGCACCATGCAGTCTTGCTCTTACACTCTGGAATGCAATTTCACGGCAGCGTTATCTGGGGCCGGGGGAGCGCTGCTTTTTCTGGTACAGCGGCGAGGGAATCGCCCTGCTAACATATACCTCCAGACTTGGGGGGTGTGAACAGACGACCACTTCGCTCATACCCCGCCTGCCTCACCCAAGGCGTTCAACTGGGTAGGTTTTCCCTGAGCATGATGATTTGATTTGGTCTATGGCTACAGCCGAGATGGAGTCGTGATTTCGACACGTTCAAGGCTTTGACACATCACCTGGTGCATCCCGGGGAAGAGTGCTGGGCTTGGCCACAGGGGCACGGCGCTGGCAACGTCACAAAGCTGGTGGAGCTGGCATGGGTGGTCTTGCTTGGTCGGAGTCTTGGGGGTTCCCCCTTCTTCGGCTAGCTTCTTCGTTGACTTTGCGGCCACAGTGGTTGTCTCTACAGTAAGTGGCTGGGCATGGCGCCAAGGCCTGCTTCCTTGCTGGGTCGATGCAAGATGATGTGAGCAGCAGGTAGACCTTCTTAGGTCCATTCTCGGAATTGGACATGAAATTGCGAGCTGTTAGGCATTGCTTGGTTGGGCTCTAAGCGCCCCATTGGTGGGAAGCTTGCGGATTGAGGCCTCTGCGCCTCTTGCTACATTTTGGTTGTGGTGGCGCAAATGTTCTACTTGTAGTCTTGCATAGTGTGCAGACGACTGGGACCCTGTGCAGTTTTGGTTGGCACGTCCCATGTGCAGCTCATGGAGCTCTACTTGACCAGCATCTACTTCGCGCTTGATCCTAGCGGAGGATGCATCTACGCGCAAGTCAGGTTGGCTCACTTGCAAATCCCTACCCCCCTGCCAACCTCATCTGTCTGTTGTGGATATTCATACACCCCTCTTCCTCTCTGCACATGTACAAACCGTTCCTCTGGCATCCTCTGGCCTCAAGAGCTTCACTGCACGAGCTTGCGTGGCGATGTCTGGCCTGGGATGCAAGTCTCGCGCACATCTTTCAACAATCACGGGACAGAAACACGACCCGTCGCTAAGAGCCTCGACCTGTATGCCATATGCATCAATCTAGGCATATCTAAAAATGTGCAAATCAAAATCCTGTAATGCATGTCTGGGGAGGTCCAGCTGGCCAAGGTCATCGCCACATCTTAAAGATGAAGCTACAAGTGCCTCTCCACGTCACTCATAAACCTCTGTTCACTCACCAACCTCTGTCGATTAAGCAACGTTTCAAACAGGACATATCAGCATCAAACAGGCTGTTTAGGACACACCTAGATCTGCCCATGCTAATCCGCATGCACGAGATCATAGGTCCCGGACTGTATGGCCAGCAAAAAAAGCTCCGCTGGGAAAACGGATGCCACCTTGCTGGAACTTGCTTTGACAAGCTCTTCAAGTTTTTGGGGTTCACTGCTTCAGGGTTCAGAGGACTGCGAGGTCGGCACTGCTCCCCTCCACATCGAAATTTTCCGCGAAAGCCCATGAAGAATGATGACCCCATCAATGATTATCATGAAGCTGAGTTTGTGTTTTCCATGCCTAGATGCCTTCAGCTGAACACCTCATGAGCTTAGATTTAGTTGACATTATCCCGTGCAACCGAGCGGCATCGATGACAAAGAAGCCCCGCAAGTATCGCTTCGCTATCCGTAAGCGATTTGTTACTAACACCTGGCCCACAGGAATGCCAGCAGACCCACGTGACATTTGATGTGCTCCGCATACCCTGTGCTGCGGCATGTGTCATGTCAGCTCTTCAACACCCTGACCCTTGCTGACCTCGCGTTCGTCGAAATACGCTGTAAAAAAAGTCAGCACCTCAGATGAGTTCGTACTAGAAGCTGATGCTGGCTCCCTCTCTCCTGTGTACATTGCAGCAAAAGCTGGAAAAGCTGACAAGCGCGTGTGAGAGTCCTGTGTCTGAGGACACAACTATGTCTATCACAAACAGGCAGTCCACAAAGATGTCCAGGGCCTTGGTGACATCTGAGCACCCTCTGACGGTCGTGCTATGCTCTACAAACCAACACAACACCTGGGGAGCGCTGCCAGCATGGCGCTAGACACCTCCACGCCAAAACATATGCGGAAGGGTTCCACCGAAACCTGGCAGAGGAAAGGGCTTGACGCTGGACCGGTTACAGCTAGGCCAACAATGGCAGTACCAAAGGGCAGTCCGACTAAAAAATGCTGATGGCTGCTGTCTTCAGAATAAGCACCACTCCACTCCAACCACTCCAATTCGTCAAGAACTTGCAGGCAGAACCGAGTACACAATCATTATGGAGATGCCAATGTCCCAGACCGCCTTCTGCAGGGGAACTTCCCGCACTCCGATTTGGGCGTAGCAGGGCTCCCGGCTTTTGCGGGGTGCTGGGGATGGATGATAAAGCCGCGAACACGAAGGCGTCGGGGCCTGGGCCTGAGCATTCATGACGTCAACGGGCGTGGGAACCAATGCTTTCAGTGAATGCTGGAAGATAGACCCACCCTGTAAGTCCACCCCTTCCTACTCGAGTATGTAGGGCTGCCCTATGCCTTGAAAGACATCGAAATAGTTTCGTTCTAGTCTAGAGCTACACAAGCGTTCCCTGGGCCGGTAATTCTGCAAAACCTCCACTTCAGTAGCCTCGAACAAAGCCCGTGAATCCCAAAATGCTGTTTAGCCCTAACTATAAGGACTCACGAGAAAAGAGCCCTGAATGTGTTGTGGACTGGTTAACTCTATACCCTAAACTGGACCCCTATAAGCCCAAGCCCTGAACCCCCAACTGGCAAAATTCTCAGGTGTCAGGCTCCTCCTCGTTATCATCGGTCTCGATGTTGATTGCTCGGCCTGCTGCCCGAAGCCTGAAGGCGTAGGCTTCGGGTCTAAGGCGTGGAACGAGGGTTTCAGGTGTTTTTGACCCAGGGCCGGGGGGGTTTCACGGCCCTCAGTTCTAGGAAGCTGCTTGGATAATCATGGGTAAATGACGGACTTATCCGGAAATGTCTATGGCTATGGCTGAGAAAATATGGAACTCCCCTTGAAACAGTTGCCCCTAAACCGTTGAGGGTGCTACTGTGAGAGTTTCACATGGAAAATGTCCAGAATAAAAGCCCCCAATAGACATGACAAAAATAAAACGTAACATCATAATCAAGACCCCAAACAAGGAACCGCTGGTTCTTGGAAGCCTCCACCTACTGCTACAAGAAATTCGTGATTATTCTTCATCGATCGTTGGTATCAGCCCAGCATAGACCCTTGAGATGAACCCTTTTTTGGTCAGCTCCCCCAAAGAGTTGATGCCTAAACCCACCCGAAACTCTCAGGAACTTTGCCGAAACCCTAGCAGCCCGGCATCAAACGTAGTATAAAGCTAGAAGGGCCACTAGAAGGGCCCTCGGGCAAAGGGCAGACAGAGAGCAAATGCCGAGTGCGTTCTCCAGCACTTTGGAGTACTTCTGTTTGCTGGGTCTTCTGGTTCGCGGAGGCACTTTGAAACTTTTCCTTGAATTGACTAATTGCAACCCTTCCTACTGGCGTTGCTTCTCACAATCTACTTTGTTGAGGTCTGCTGTCCTGATGCTCACGAAATGCGGGTTTCTCAAAACATGGGCTTCCCTATTACAGATTCACATGCATCAGTCTGCCAAACTCCCACATTACGTCACGGCCTTTCCGACGGAGGCTCTTCTGACCGGTTCGCAACACCTTTCGCAACAAGTGTTCGATCTCTACAAGTACAAGCACAATGGAGGCTCCCTATACTGTGGGCCTCCATTTGACCACTGTTGCCGTTTCTAGGATCAGGTGGGTGTCAGAATGTATAGCAAAGGGCTTTAAGGCTTTGGCGGGGTCTCTTCCTAGGAAGGATATGAACGGGATCTCTGGGTCTTTTCGATAGGATCCTCAAACAAGGAATGCCCAAATACGTCTAATCTGTTCTTGGGGTTTCAGCAGCAGACTTCTTGGACAGTCATCAAGCCAACATCATGCTTCAAGGCCTGTCGATGCTGCTGTGCTCCCCGTCGCAACGCCTCTTGGTCTGAAAGACAGGGGCTGAATTTTTGTGTGGTGAAGTACATGCAAAAGCGCATAGAAACAATCATCCCACTTGAATGGCGCGTGGGTTATCACAGGCCTGGACAATTCAGAGCAGGTTCCCATTTTCCCATGTCCGGGCCTCCCAGGTCTTCGGAGGCCTGTCGAAGCAGCAGGCCGAATTCAGCCTGGCAAAAGCAAATCGCCACTTGTCAACGAAAGGGAAACAAGGCTGCTCGCAGCTTTCTGTGAATGCCGCGGGCCTCCAGGAGCCCGAACTCACCAGGCAGTCTACCGCCTTTGTTATTGCTGGGACTGTCAACTATGTAGACGAACAGACTGGTCAAGGTCTCACAACCACTCGCACTGAGGCTGAAGCCGTTGTCATTCTTTGCATTTAAAACACTCCCACGCACTTGACCAGTTTTTCGCTTCTGCTTGCGGCGAACCTGGGCTTGGCAAGTGTACTCAGGGGAGCTGCCATCCAGGACATGGCGTTTCTCGATTTTCAGCAGATCTGTGACACCTTGAAGCCTTGTTTTGCAACAGACCGGTTTGGCTTGCCGGAACTCTTGCTGTGCTCTGGCAGATGCTCGAGAAACTCTGCTTGTCCAAACAGCGCGTGCTGGATGTCACCAGCAGAAAAGGCGCCCCGGAGCATCGGGTAAGGCCTCCCCTGCAATGGTTGGACGTCTGCTACGCCTCTCACGGTCATATCCCCCAGCAGGCACGTTAGCCCAGTGGTCCTGCTGTCATGTGTCCTGCACCTGGACACGTTGGCCTCAAGGGTATGTTCCGGTGACACAGGACGTCAGGACTCCTAACCTTCCTGTTGCGACAGACGCCAACCAGCCCTCACACCCGGCCAACAGTGCGTGGGAATTGCAAAATCGGTGCAGCAATTCCCTGTGGGTAGGGCCATGTTCTGCTTACTGCATACGTCATAGGTCTAACAGCTCTGCACCCTCAGGACATTCCATATCGTGTGGCACTTCCTTCTTAGACTATACAACCCTTCGAGCTGAAAATTAGTTGCTTCCAGTTCGTTCGTGTAATGCAGCTGTGGAGCAACCCATCCAGATCCAACCTAGACCTCTACTGGTTGTCGAAGGTTGAAGCATGCTGCAAGTACGAGGGTTCACTCAAGCATGTCCGCAACAGCGACCAGATTTCTATGTGGATTAGGGTGACCGGAAAACAATGACGGTGACCTCTGAGCTAAGGATGCGGAACTCCCGCTTCCGACCTGAGAGACTTGGATCATCATCGTGAGCCAAGTGAGCCTTCACAGGCTTGACTGCAAGGTTGCTGAAAAATGCAGCGCGAGGAACGCCAAGCGCAGTCGCGCGCATGGACGCCTAGGCAGGACGACCTCCGAGATCCTGCGAGACATCCGCTTGGGCTTACCACACAGTTAGCAGGTCCTGTTTGTTGTGTTTTGGGGGGCATATGGGGGGACCCTTTTTGCAAGAAGCACCCGCATGCCCCAGCATGTATGGGAACTTCGTCCAATGGCTGCTGCAGCTGGTGGTAAGCTTTGTGCAGTAGAATAACCAAAGGCTGCAACGAATAGACTCTGGTCCTAGGCGGCACGCTAGTACAGGCAACGAATACGAAGGGATGAGAATCATCGTGATGCCTTTTTAGGCTCCGGGCTACATTGAACAGTGGTCATACGAACCATGAATGCACTGCGTTCAGTGCACAACCCATGCCGTACGTATTACTGCTATTTCTGCACTCAACCTTGCACCAGTTGAATCCGTGGAGACTGCCCAAAAAGGATTCGGAAGTCATCCCAAGAACAAAACTTCACATAAACTCTTCAGGACCCTCTTCGTTCCCGACACACCCCTTGCCTTGTTGGGGCCCCTCTTGGGCCCTCGTCTCGTGGCCTGTCATCAATATCCCTGCCCTCACATCCGAGGATCAGTCCGCGCAACACTTTTTGGGGCTCCTTCTGTTGGGAATCATGGTCAAAATTTGCGCTTTATGGTTGGTAAACACTTGAGGAAAGATCAAAATAGCCCGCCTCCCGCCCCCCTCTGCCACGTCAGCGCATCCGCGCCTCAGCAAGGACAAGTGCAGAATCAAGTCACCTGTAGCTATTTGGTCATTCGGAGATCATGGGGGTCGTCGATACTGGTTTGATAGGAAGCGTGTTGACAAGCTACATGCTTTTTTCTAGGGCACCAGCCGACGAGGAGGGGCAGCAGCGAGACTTTGCCCGGCCAATGGGAGACGAGGAAATGGCGGGTGGCGAAGCGGTCGAAGGGGGCTGTGATTCTACAAGAAAGCTGTTTTACATGCTCTTGGGGTCCAAAATGCTCCACAAATAATGCAAAGTTGCTCATGGTATGTGGCTTTGGCTGAGGGTCGGGGTCCAAGGGTATGGGAGTTGAGGCTGAGTGGGACAAGTTTTCCACTGAACTGTTCCGGTCCATGGCCGGCTTATGGGCTGGCTGGGGGGCGCGGAAACCCTCTGGCTGCCCCTGTCTTCTCTCATGTTCCTGTGCAGAGCCAGATAGGGCAAGGGCGGAGCATGAGATCACAACAACACCTCATCTTCCTTTCCACATAAGCCACGCCCCAAAGAGGCAGACCCCGGCTACGGAGGCGAGGCACCCTTCCTGCAAAGAGTCCAGCTAAAGAACCAGTCGTAGCCCACGCTGAGGAAAGACACGCCTCGGCTCCACTGATCGCAGGTGTGTAGGAATCCATGTCAACTGCCTTACTGGTACTCAGAGAGACCCTGCATCACACTCAAATTAGAATACATGTTCTCGCGTACAACATATTAGGGCTGCAGACCGCAGTTCACGCACATCCACAGACCATGACAGCCGACAGAACCGGCAAATGGACCTTTTCATTCCCGTAACCTAGCTCTTTCTTGCGGACTTGGAGGCATTGGAAAACGTGGACGGACATTCAAACATCACTACGGGCATGCTCCGCGTGCCAAACACACTGGCGGTTGTGACGGTTGACATGAGCACGGAGCAAGTTACTGCGTTTGAACAAACTTAATACATGCTTCATGACCGCTTCCGGGCCTTTCAAACCTTGTGCCTTCAGCGTGGTTAGATAGGGCATTAGCTTGGAAGTCCAAGATTCCCAAAGCTGTGCCATACCTTACCGTGCAGCTGGAGATTGTTCTATGCTGACCCCCACTCAAATAGTGGCTCTTTTCCTTCCCGCTGGTCTGCTGGAGCCACACACACCCAGCCTGCGTGGTGGATACGGCAACAGTGCCAGTTGAGTATGTACCATTATGTACCCCAGTGTTTTGGGGGATATTTTAGGGACCAGAGCTTTGGCACCTGTCTTCAAAAGCGGCGGCCCAACGCTGTTGGACCCAAAATACGAAGTGCCGAATATTGAATGGGCACTCAAACAAACCTGCAAATTGAGAAGTAGCTGGGCCCTTGTACGCCAACAAAAAGGGCTCGTTCAATGTCCAAAGCTTCGCACTGGGGAAAGGGCCAATGCCGACCAAAGTCCCGATCTGCGTCTCCTTCCACACGTTCAGGGTTTAGGGTAGAGGGATCAGAGTTCTCTTGTGATGCGCATTCGTCCCACATCCCTCCACATCCCGCATCAGAATGCTCTGGCAGCTACTGAACCTTTACCATTAGGATCTTCCCTACGACCATGACAGCATGATGAGATCTCCTTGCCACGGCCACGGACGTTCCTCTGCCAGCTCCAGAAGCCTGCCAAGAAATTGTCAAGTAAATTCCCAGCAGTAGCACTGGGCTCAGCACAGAGTGCATGGTCCCACCCATGCTTGCAGCGAGACCATCCCTTTATCCGCACCTAGAGATCCGCAAGACAGCGTGACTGCGGGGATCAATGACCATACGATCAGCTTCACCTGGCTTGGACTGGAAGTTGCTACCGCAGGCCCTACTCAACACAGGCTCTGAGAGCTTCGGTGTTAGGGTTTGGGCTTTTAGGTTTGGGTTGAGAGTTCTGATAGATTTTAGGCTTGGGCACGGCCCTCAGCTGAAGCACACCCATTTAGGATGCAGAAAGCTTGTGCACGAAGCAAGCTGGCAGCTAGTTTGGACTGATTCCCTCCTACCAAGTGCACAAATCTACGGACCATGCACAGGCATTGCTAAAACTCCATGCAAAACCCTCCGCACTACTTGCACAGACCCATAATATCCTTACCATCTTTGCCCACAGCATAGACCCTTGAAAAAAGACGAGGTCAGAGCTGGACTCAAGCGGCACTCTCGCAGGTCGTAGACAGTTTGACCCTGACGGGCAATGGTCTGCGGTGATAGGAAGAAAGAACAGAAACTTGGGGTTTGGGCTTCTCGCGCCATTGAGGCTTAGACTGAAGGTACGGCCCTCGGTCTGCATTCGGGACCATGTGGTCATGGGCTACGGCTAGGTGCGGCTAGCATCTTCCAATGCAAAGAATTTCCAAACAAGCTCAAACTTTGGTTTCGGGTCGGCTGCTTCAAGTCCGAGGTTGATCGAGTTTTTGCTGAAGCCTTTCCTCCTTCAAGTGAGATCTTTCTTGGACTTACCCTGACTCGACCCTGATCCCCCGCACTGTCCTGCTGAATGGCCCATCTCAACAGGTAAATATACTATGCTATGCATGCCACATGTACTTCATCTACTTGCACTGCAAGGCGCAATCCAGTGCAGATTGCGGAAAGATGCCGCGACGACGGGCTAAATGCAAAATGGTTACATGGCCACTGCAAGCAGCAAGAGAAGCTTTGCAAAGTCTGTAATCTAAAGTCTGTAAAGCGCAGCCGCCACATGCCCGTATAACCTTCTTGACTTCAGGCTGGTCCAAATCATTCCTTGGTTTGTCCACAGCAACACTTTTAACATGCGCCTTCTCCCAGAACGGCTCCATGTCGCACACCTGAAATGCAAAGAGAACACAAGTTGAAAAGGCCATTAGAGACAGCATCTATCATCCTGCTTCATCCTGACAGTGCAGGAAGCCTTCTAAAGTTCAGCTGGCTTCAGATGGTCCCGCCACGCTGCAGGCTTGAGGGATCTCCCCTTTCATATGAGTGGCCAATATCTATCTCAAGTTTTTCCGGCACTTCAGCACACAGGCCTTTTCATAGAATTTGTTTGGCTCAGCCCTTAGACCACAGCAGCCCGCCTTCATCGTCACTGCCTTGGCATGAAGGTCTGCTGAGCTAGAAAATTCTCTCTGGAGACACTCAATGGCTGAAACTTGCAGCAATTCCCAGTTCTCCCTGAAGCTCATGAGCAAGAAATGAAACACAAGCCTTTAATCCTAAGCCTCCTAATCCTAAGCTCCTGCCTCCGTGAGCGAATTCTCCGTGAAGGCTACCTGGGCCAGGAAGGAGCCTTGCTGGAAGTGAGGCCTCAGAGAGGAGGCTAACAGGCTTCCTGGTGCTAAGTAGGGATGGGAAGATGGGGGGGAATGGTGTTTAGGGTTTCGGGTTGGGGGGTGGAAAAGACGTGGAAGCTACCAGATTACCTGGTGTCTAGGTTTAGGGATTGGGGCTTAGCAGTCAGGGTATAGGGTTTAAGCTTGTTGCCGGGGAATGCCGGCAACGGATCATAATCCCTATCAACAGGGCTTAAGTAGTGAGTACTATAGGGTCCATCTCGCATTCCTCCGTAGTACCCCCTCTCTTCCCGGTGCTTGGCAGAGATTGAGTTTTCTCAGGATTTGGGACTGAAAGAGAAACTTGGAGACTGGGAATTGCGTAGGAGTTTCTGGGACCACTACGTGAATGATCCGGCCCTCATGACCCACCAATAGCCTTGTGAACTTCCTCCGGAGCATAGCAGGATCATTGGGGCTTCCGAAGTATTGGAAATCTCTTTTTCCATCTAAGGGGACCTCGTAGCTGGAAGAAAGGGCAGTAGGATGTCCTGACTTATCCTAGCAGAAGTGGGCACTGGAGTGCCAGATTTTAGCCAGCACAGATTCCAGAATCATGGGATACACGACTTTTTGACCACCACGTGCTGTCAGCTTGTCAGTTACGTCCCTGCCGTGTTTTGACCATGCACATCCCCACGGAATCTGCGAGAAAGTTCATAGGAAAGGCCTCTGCATCAAAGCTGAGGTTGGCGTGCCACAAGTAGTAGGGAAGCAAGAACTGATCCCTCTGAATCTCGTGGCACTTCTCATAGGTGCGCCCAAAAGCCTGCGACACGTCGACAGACCTCAGGTCTCCGGAGCCAGCAAGCAATGGGGAAGCCGAACTTAAATCACGAGCAGAACTCCCCAAGCTTTCGGCTCCTCCTATTTTACCACCTCTCCCTATCCCTAATTACTACGATTAGTACTACTAGGATTACTACAAATATTAGATACATATATATATATATGTATATGTAGTAAGTAGAAATCATAATAGGACTAATATTATTACAAGTATTATATACCAACATTATTACAAGTACTATATATATAATTATAATCTTACAACTGTCCCTCCCTGAGAAGCATCCCTCAAGCACTCCTCAAGCTCCCGCCTTGCGTGGCGAAGGTTCCGGAAGATGATCCGGGTCTCGCAGTAAAAGGGCGGAGAATACCTGGGCTGCTGTTAAGGAGCTTAAAGTAAGTTAAGGTATATGATATGTAGGGTTTAGGGTATGTATGTATACATGTACATATGTGCTTCGGGGTTTAGGGTATGTTGGGTTTAGGGCTTAGGGTTACCATAATATGAATATAGGGTAGATAATAGGGTTTCCTTGTTATGGTAACTTATTTTAAAATACTTAACAGCAACCCAGTTACTTCCGCGTGCCGGGCACTTGGCCTCAAGGCCACTCACCGAAACAAAGGGAGGGACCTCCTACTAGATTATAGTATATTGGGGTCTATATTGGGGGTCCCTGGGTCCGCCTATTCAGGGAAATTACCTAGCAACCAAGCCAAATCACCTAAACCCGGGTGCCTCGAACCCTTGAAACCATCTGAAGCCAGAAACCCTTGGAGCAGGTGCCTTCATGCTCCTTCGTCAGCTTCTCATCCCAGGCAACTATGTTCTCCCTGGAGTCCTGTCCAAACGGGGTTGGCCCTAAGCCCTGAACCCTCCATTGTCAAATGTAGCCTGCAGACCAAGCAAAATTTTAAAAAAAAAATCGAAAGGTATGGCACTCAACGACATCTACAATCGTCACAGTCAACTGGCATGAAACTGTCAGTGAAAGTGAAGTGGAGGTGTGATGCAAAACATCACCAAGAACTCGAGAGCTCAAAAATACTAGGCTAAGGAAAATGCTGGTCCTCGATGTACTCTCGGCGCTTGTTCAGCATCGACTTCAACTCGCGGCTGAAGCAGTTAAAGCCATCTTCGCCACAGCTCTCATGATAGCTCCAATCCAGAAGGAGAAGGGGCTTCAAGGAGTACTTCTCCAGAAATGGGCCTGATGTGGACTCATGACCACAACTGAATGGAACTAGACTGAGCATGCTCCTCCTGACAAGACCTTGGGGTAGTAAACTCCAAACTCTCCTAAGGCCATTTCATACCTGCTTCTTGGGACTGCATTCAATTTCTGTGGCCTTCAATGAAACCATGAAGTTTCCAAGCGTAGGATTCCGATGTAAAAGCCCAGAAGAGCAGGCCCCATAGCACGAAGTGTAGCCAGAAAGATCCCGTAAATTCCCTTGCCAGCAAGAAACCTACCCGAAGCAGGTCGAGCACTACGTTTCCATCAAAGGTCACCAGCCAATCCTTGTTTTGTCTGGCGCTAGGTGGGCCATGGAGTTTGGGGTCTACGGTGCTCCAATATGTGTATCCCTAGTTAGGTCTAACGATTCTGCATGTCAAATGGGCAGTAGATCCCAAAAACTACAGGAAAAACGAAAACTCAACAAGGGCCAGGAATCCCACTGCCCATTCAGCAGCCTCAGAAGGCAACAACGGGCCCTTGCGCTACGGTGATGTGGGTTTAGGGCTTAGAATTTCGGTGCTAGCCTGCGAGCCCAAGGGTAAAGCCGCATGGGAAAGGAAGCGTAAAGAGCAGCACCGCTTTGGAGAGCACACTTCACGAAGCTGTAGAAAGGAAGTTGTGAATTGGGTAAGCATCCTTCCTACAATGGCAGCAAGTTAGGGGAATGAACTCAGCAGAATTCCAGGGGAACTGATGAAGCCCACCGCTGGCCAGAGTTCCCCAGCCCATGATCCAGCTGAAGGGCCACGAGGGCGGCGTGAATTTCAGCAGCTTTGATGTTAACCTGTCTCATTCACTAAACCGCTCCCCAGAACTCTTGCAGTTGTGATTCACTTGCTCTCATCCAAGTATGACGTATGACCCTCCTGATTAGGGTGCATGTCCCGGCAATGTTTTCAAGCAGAGCCAACGTGCAGCACGTTCAAGTAAACCCCCTGAAGCAGACTCATGCCAGAAGCTCTTTTTGATTTGTAGACATACTGACATACTGACCTGAACGCGTACCTTGGGAGTGACAATGTTTGCGTGCATTTGTGTCCAGGCCTGGCACCAGTCACAAACTCCGTGCCTGCTTGAAGGGAAACTGACTTGATCTGCCAGCCCCTGACAGGGACTGCTTTTCTCCAAAACACCCTAACAGCCCTAGCAGCCCTAGCAAGTATCCCACTCTTTTCAAAGGCCATGAACCTCACGTCTGCCCTTCAGGGCACCTGCACCTACGGGCTCAATCGCCTAAAATAGGAGCTCATCTCCTTACTGTACGTCTGGCTCTTGATGCTATGAGGATTCAGGTTAAAGTCTAAAGTTACTGCCGGTACGAAACGCCAAAGCTCTGATGGAATAATGTCCTTCTCTTGCTTTTGCACCACACCCTTTCTTTGATCTCCAATGCTTGTACAGTTGATCGTGGCAGCACGCCCTAAGCCCCACATCTGACTCTGGGACTGGGCTAGCCCTCATCTTCTGGGCCTCTTCTTCCAGGTGTTGAAGGATGTCTGATCCGATCGCTCCCAGGTGTCGTGATCCAGGAAAAGGAAAGCATCCTGGGTTCTTGGGCTAGGCTTGCGGTTCAGAGGTTCAGTAAGTCTTCCGCTTGGGGTTCATCTCTCTGCGTCTTGTTCCTCTTTGGGCCAGGGGCTTGTGACAAGGCTCATGGACTTGTAAAGTCGGAGCATCTGCACAAACATCAAAATGCATGCCACGATTGCCCAGCGTCCATGTTAGGGGGCACACACGGGACGTTCTTCTCCCGCATGCCGCCCTTAGTTTGCATGTGCATGCCATCACTGGTACATCTAGCAAGAGCTGTCCCCTTCCCCACAAGTCGGGTTTGCCTTCTTGTGTTGCTGCTGCTTTCAGCCCCTTGCTACAACACTCTGCAAAGCCCAAAGGGCAAGTGAACATAGCTTTTCCTCCAAGCTACCTCATAAGATCCGATGTTGTAGGTGTAGATGGCCAGATGCTTCTTGGCAGAGTTGTCCATTGATTTCAATCGTGCATCGTCGCAGGTGTAGTCTTCTCCACACACTGGGATGTCCTTGCCCGGACCCACCTGCGAACAGCACAGCCTGTACCCTGAAGGCTAGCCATTCATCAGTCGTCACTTGCACTTGGCAGCATGTCCAAAAACAGGTTTCCTTACGAACTCTCAAATCACCCAAATGCAATCTCTGTTGCACTCTGCTTTCCCACACAGACAAGAAAGCTTAGCCTACAGTCCTGAGCCAGCCTTGAGGTGGCTCACACCATGGTGGTGCTTTCTTCCGTGCCGATGTTTGTGGTGCTCCTGCATGCCATGAACTGGTGAAACAGCTGCAAGTTAAGGTCGGATTAGTGGCAAACCCAGGCTCCTTTTTGTGGTTCTGCGGCGCATCTTCGTCTGGCAGGTGTTCGCTGGTAGGCTTAAGCTCCACCTGGCATCTGTGGGATGATCTCAGTTCCAATGAGCTTGAAGACTGGAGCTAACATGCCACTGGCCTCCGCCTCTTCGCGTCTCATCAAAGTGACATTCACGGAGGCATCAGCGCCAAACACCAGCAAGCAGGCAGTCCAGAGCGTGAGTAGCGGCATGGCAGCTGGACGGCGACTAGTGAAAGATTTGGGTTCACGGGCAACGGTTCTCTCAATCCGGAAGATGAGGCTCATGTTTAGAACGGTCCACTGTAAAGATGGCAGAGTAGCTTCGAAATATGAGCAATTCAATCTCCCGCCCCCCGGCTTCGGGGGCGGGAGTGAAGGCCTGGACTGTTTCCAGTCACAGGCCTGGGAGACCTGCTACGAAATGAGCCTGCGGCAGAAGCAGAGGTGTGAAGCGGTCCTGCAAGTGTCGACAAATGGTGAGTAGTCGCTGCAACCCAACACTCTCATCTCTTCTTGTTTCTACACCCTGCATCTTAAGAGTTAGGTTGCACATGTAATTGAGCCCTTCCTTGGAGTGGAGGCAACTGCAATCCAACCCACCCCAGGGTTCAGCTTAGGTTGGTCCTAATCTGATCCACAGCCCTTACATGTTCTAGATGGCATCCAAGGCACGCTGCGATTTGCGAGCCGAGACTGCCGGTTCCGCCTGTGCCTCCCGTCCCGCCGCCCGCACTGCCATCTCCGGAGTCCGCACCTGTCGCCCAAGGGAACTCGATTTCTCGTAGAAAGTGTACACTGCATCAGCTCAGAAACATCGGACACAGGAATGTTTGCTGCCTGTGCCGGTCGCGGCATCGGCAAAAGCTTCCTGTGGCAGCGTTCATTTTCTTGGATATGAGGCACCCACTCCACCAGCCTGCAGTGCCGTGAAGTACTCCTGCGGGGTGGCCCTCAGCAAAGGGCCGAACACGACCAAACCACCAATAGCAGCAGTCCGAGTAACAGGTATTATACGGCATTCCATTAGCTAGTTACGAACCCAACTGTGGCATCTTTGCTTGGCCATCAGAAAATCCTAGTCAACTTACGTTGTAGCCCCCGGGACCTGCAGATCAATTTGAACTGTATACTGCCATGATGCGCCTAGTATGCACCCACCATGAACCCGGCTCCGTCTTCATCACAGAAGCCTTCTTTCGAAGATGCCGCCATGACGACGGTTTGGCCCGATGGTTGTCATGCTGGCCCCAAACTAATTGTCATACATTTGCCTAACATATTTCCGATGCTGGCCGTAAACTCTAAAATTGACATCACGCTGCATTTGCCATGCTGGCTCAGAACACGACTTACTGCCATGGCACCCTAATCGCACTACGCCACAACACGTGAAGGTCATACCCACGCATTGGGCACAAGTAGCGTCAGACATGAGGTATTTCGGCCGCTGTGAGCTAGCATAGAAACCATATGCCTATGGGAACGACGATTGCTGGTAGGAGGAACGCAAAGAAGATTTGTGCTGGCACAGCAATCCTGCTGCACCACTTAACATCTACCCTAGCCCCAAAAATGCTGCCAGCGATGCACTTCAAAGCTTTCCGAGTGAGTGGCGCATTCGGATCAGCAGAAACATCGAACTGTACCTCATTCAGAAGCATGCCTCACAAGCTCACAGGGTTAACTTTACCTACCTCGCGTTGTTCCTTCCATTTTGTATTTGTTCTGTCAACCTTTTTCTCTCGGGTCTTCTCCTTCTTGGGTGCCTTCTAATTTCGAGCTGTGTGCGCTTCTAGGAGTGCACCGCAGCTATGCCCCCAACTCAAGCAGATCCAAGCAATGTAAGTCGCCCAAATACGAGTGGGATACTGACACGCCCGAAACCAATAGTGTTCCTCCAGGACATAGTTTTGGATCCACAACGTTTGGCGGTTGTCTTTTAAGCGAGCTCTCGAAACCTCTGGGTCTTCTTCTCACAGCTACGCACCGCGGCAATGCCACGAGCTGGGCAGCGCCTGTCCATATCCAGTCGGCGTGAGACTCAACACACGCCCCTCCCAGGATCATACACCACCAACTAGACACTCCTAACTTCGCGTGTGCTGAACCCAAACCTCGACGATCCCAATCTCGGGGCATCGGCATGGCACTGCCGGCACATCGCACAACTGTACTCACCTCATGCTGATGCGCCAGAGGAGAAACCTGAACACCGGCCTGCACTGAGCTGCGGTTGGAACCGTTCCGACGCGCCACTGGCGTCCCAACGAGTGCCATACGTCTTGAGACCTCTCTCTTTTGCTTTGGCTTTGGCTAAGGTGGTGACGAATCACCGGCACCACCCCCTTAGCCAAAGCCAAAGCCAAGAGACCTCTTTCTTTCAGGGCGATGGAGGGGTCGGAGCCCCTTGGAGCAATGCCCCGCGCCCGGCAAGGGTCACTGGTCGGCGGAAACTCCGGAGGACCGCAGTGCCGCATGTACATGGGTCACACTCACATCCCCCAACAACACTCTAAAACGTCTACACGTTAAGGTTAAACTAGCCACCCCCATGTGATCCAATAGACAAGCCTCCTTTCTTCTTCATGGAGCAGTAAGGCTGAGCAGTTGACAAGGCACTCATGCTTGTCTGCACTCCCAGTCTCCTAATGCATTGGTCTCAAAACTCACCCACCCGAAGCCCTAAAGCCATATACATCAACAACATACAGCGACTACATGGCCTGGCGTACAGCAAGCCTACTTCTTCGGGCGCAAAGATTGCCCTCCCTGCTGCGCTAGGGGCACCAGCGGTAAGAGACCTCTCTCTCTCTCCCTACTTGCAAAAGAATGGTCTTGAGTTCCAGACTGCGAAGACGGTCCGCACAGACACCTGCTACTTGGAACAAGCGCGAAATGCTCTGACCAAACCAAATCACAAGCTAGATTGTTACTTCTCCAGAGCGTCTCTGACAAGTAAGAGATACAAGCTTCGCTAAACACAACTGGAGTGGGTTGGTGCTGAAGAACGAGAGCTGAGCAACCATGTCCCGTATACGTGCAGCTGCTGAGGCCAAATCAAAAAACTGCGGGTTGTGCCTGAGCCCTGGCGCATAGAAAGCTGCAGAAGAGCAGCCATCTCCTGAAACAGATCATATCTGTCCATGCAAATGCAGGTTGCATCTTCACTGCGGGGCTCCGATCAAAACCTGGAGACCAGGCTGCCTAAAGAACACAATTGCTCTCCCGTTGCAACGTTGCCGCTTTCTGCGTGCTTTGAGCCCTCACAACAGCCCGTCCTCATGACGACCGCGCAAGCTTTTGCATGTCAAGCCTCATGGGCAATTGGTTGTGTATCTACAACACACAGGATACTTGGTTGGAGTGCAGGTCACGATTAGGCACATGATCAATCACATGCTCCTGCAGCACGGTGTAACTGAATGTCCAGTCCAAACCAGGGCTCAGACCAACAGCTGCCGAGTGCAAGACCCGGACTTGGTGCCCTGACACCAAAGGATGGTTGCTTCCCCGAATATCTTGGAGGGGGTTGGCAGGCAGACGTAGGTTGCCATACTTGGAGGCAAATCCACATCACATAACGTTCGTCAAGGCTTAGCAGCGAGATGTATCCGACAGGCTGCATTCTGGAGTCCTCTGTCGGGGTTCGCGCTTGAGCTTGGAAGAAGGTCACACTAGGTCACAGTCACAAATACCTAAAAAACTACACCCACGTTCAGCAGATGTGTCCTGGCCTCAGCTACTGTCTCTCCGACAGGTATGCAGCATGTTTGTAGGGCATGATCCTCCGGAAGCCATGAAGCTGCACTTCGTGTGGAGCAAAGCTGCAAGATGTATGGCTGGCCACGCTGAGCTGCGCTTTGCTTCTTTCTGGGACTTTCCTGTATGATGGTGGACAGAAGAGAGCCCTTCATCATGCTGCTTCTGACATTGATCAGTCCCTCCCCGCAACGTGAGCCAGTAATGGCCTCGACGCATTAAAGAAACTAAGTGAAATTGCTCGGCACTTCCTCACTGCCTGTGCAATGCCTCCTGCGTACTTCTTGCATGTTATGTGAGTACCTAGTGCTAGCATAATCGGACAAACTCAAGCTTCCGGTCCAAATGCAAACAGCAAGCAACCTCAGAAGCTGGCGGTACGCCTTTCTTGCATGGAAGGTGTAACAGCACGGAGGCTGACAGCCTATCCAGATTTTCCGGTGTCCCGGGGTGTTTGTCAGGACATGGAGACCCCACACATAATAAACATTTTGCGTCAATCTGCCTGGCGCTGTTGGCCCGGCACCTGACGCCGAGAGCAACATAGCTCTGTCACAAATGGCTCCTATAAAAGCCATGTTTACAGGAAACCTAACCTACGCAAGGGCTCGACCTACCTTTGGGAGCCCTTCACGCCAACTCCTACACAATATGTACAAGATCAGCGAGTGCCGAACATGAATAAACTCAAGTCCAAAGGCTACAACGCCTACTAGTCTTCCTCCTCATCATCTTCCCAGTGGTTGCACGTGAGATTCAAGTTGTCCATGCCTTCACCCCAGGGATCAGGGATGCTACCTGTATATACGGAAATTCAAATAGCAACTGCTGTTCTAGCTTGTGCTGGCATTCAAGTATCAACAAGGCAGCCTAGACGTTCACCTCCGGAGATTGGAAGGTCATTTCGATAGGATTGGGTCATGGCCTTCGTGGAACTTGGGCGGCTTCGTGTCCTGCACTGAGTGGTGCTCTGATGTCTTGGAGGTCTTGGCTTTTGTCTTCACAGGGGCAATGCTGCTGGTTTGCGGTCAATACTTTAAGATCCTGAATTAGGATAGTCCTCATCTCAGGTGACTCTTTCCATGTTGCGGGTTGGGCCTTCTCGTGGCTACATTGAAGAGCAAAAAGCGATGGTACCGTTTGAGCTTAAATGCCTGGAGCAGAGAGCAGAGAGTGCATAAACCCGTGGTAAACGTGAGGCACGAGGACTTCCCAAGGACAGCATCTGGCAGCTCTGCCCTCAGCATGAAGCGCAAAACTTCCCTTCTTGCAACCTGTATACCGGACATGCTAAAGCAAGATGTCAAGTTCTCACTGGCGTTGAAGGATAGACCAGCGCTGTCACAAAATATGCCCACATACACAATGCAAGCTCCAGGCATGCACTCAAGTCTCCATGCTCGGGTCCTGCCAAATCGCCTTCTCGACTTCGGACAAGAAGTGGTGAACTG